GACCTGACCATGTCAGCTAGTCAGTGATGGGCCAATGATTGGCCAGAATGTGCAATCTGAAAACAAGAGCTAAGGTTTTTAATATAAAGCTGTATGGCTTGCTTTCAGTGTAATCCCACAGAAATCAATTCCTCTTCTCTGTATGTAAATGGCCTTACTTGTTGTTCCTCATTTGTAACACTGAAAATGATGACCTCAAAATACCATATACCTAACCTCCAAGATACTTGTTTAGACTTGATCATTTTTATCACGATGGCAGTTTTTGTTTTTCAGGAGTTCCGGGCCAACGGCGAAACAAATTGTCGCCGCCCAATTGTTCTTCCCACCCCTGTCAGAGCCACTTGCGTCAGAATAGTTCCCACCCTGTGGAACCACGCTCTCCACCTACGTATAGACCTGATTGGCTGTCTAGACAATGGTTTGTTCAACACTTGATTCAGTCTCTTGACTTACGAAGTACCTTGTTGGATTTTTTGCCCCATCGTTTTCAAAAAAATCATTTGCTTATTTACAGTTCAATAGGCAAACCTTCCTAGCCATATTTGTGGAACTGTGGGATACTTCTGTTTTCAATACTTGCTGGTATATTTCCTACTATACTAGAGTAATACTGGAGTAAAGACTTGTTCGTACTTCAGTCAAAGCAAAAAAAGATTCATCTTCCAGAAAAGCTTGTTACGAAGTTGAAATCATGTTCACTTTTGCACATTTCAGTGCTACTTCTTCCCATGACATCAAAGAACTTGTCACTTTACCTTCACTCTGTGTATGAATTGGTTTGAAGCTAACGACCATTCGGATGTTGTTTTTTTTTATTCAACAGATTGTGACACAGTTTTGGGATTGTCAGATTATCGGGTATTAGATTCTCAGATCACATCCTCTAGCAGTTTAAATGAGACTAACTCAGCCAAAACTGCACGGTTGAACCCACTGGACCGGCAACAGAGTACCGGCTGGGTGCCACACAACAGTGACCCCCAGCAGTGGCTCCTGGTTGATCTGAGAAGCAGTTACGACATCCATGCTATTGTGACCCAAGGGTGTGGCAACATAGCATTGTGGATAACCTCATTCAAGATGTATTATACAGGGCCCGTGGATGACACCTCCAGTGTGGAGTTCCACCCCTACTTGGACCAAAATGGTGCTGTAAAGGTGACCCTCAGATCCATACATGGCCTTTGTTTATTTCATCTTTCTCTATGCATCTGTTAGATTTAATAGGGACCATCAAAAACTATGCAAGTACGTATACTGGATTTGCATGTTTGGCAAATAGAGTTAATTAGTCGCATCACCAGGATTCTATGAAACCTACCAATATACGTGTGCACATGCATACGTTTTGATGTGAAATGCATATTGCTTATAGCATGTTAGAAAAGTCTTTTTAAATCGTGACTAATGACTTGTAAGGGACTTTTCCTGAGCTGAGCATGCATCTCATAAGCTGACATTTCTAATGGTCGTTGCTGATTATTTTTGAGATTGACTGCTATAGTGACTTGCTAATAATGTGTTGTTTCTCGTGTTTGCATAGATTAAATTATTCAATTTGGAATCCAGTCATACAGCTGGTAGATATCCAGACTTGAAATTTGTATCTTAAAGAGTAGATTTATTGCATTTTTCTTGTTCTTTTCCTTCCATTTTTTCCAAGGGGGGAGCATCCCTTGAAACCAAAAATTGAAAAATATTCCCCAAATTCTATTTTACAAACTCTCATGCCAGTACTTTACATAACTTTGCCCATTCAGCTCCAAATAGCATTGCCCAGGTTTTGACAAACTTTGCACGAAATTTGTCACTGATTTGCAGAAATTCCTGGCCAATTCAGATCAGCACACCATCATCCGTAATGAACTCCTGCCTAAGATCATGACTCGCTACATCCGTATCCACCCAGTCACCTGGCATCCGGAAGGCATCGGTCTGCGGTTGGAACTTGTTGGTTGTGTGTACCGCTGTAAGTCATTTTTTGAAACTCACTTGATAAAGAAATTTCTAAAGTCTCGGTGAAATACCAGTAATGTCTGGTTAGGACCCATTTCAAAGTCAAGCAGAGATGGAATTCTGAGAAAGAACAAATATCGAACACGTTGGATTATGTTGAAAACAAAAGTGCATGATATGACTCTGTTTTAAAATTCTGAGTGAGTTCTCGTAGGTATTTTGCTGAGACCTGTGTTCTGGCCTATCAGCAGTCTCATTAGGTATAACATCATGGACTGACAGGCATGGTTGAGCACTTCCTTATTTAACCTTTAATTCTTCTCTGGGGCACCACTTTTACTGTAGAAAGTTAGTAATTTACATATAAAGCAAGTTTCTGCCTTGGGTATAAATTTCAAAAAGAGGTGTGCAACATATGATTTTTTGTCAAAGCTTTCTGTTCCTGCTTTTCTGTGTATTCGTCTAGGAAATAGTTTGCCTGTGATCTCAACAGAGTTTGAAGTTACTTGGTGTCAAAATGGTTGTTTCTGTCGTCAGTGGTATAATGGCGAAGAAGCATGCCTGAGTCACCACATATTGATCAGTTTTCACTGAAATTTATCATGCCTGAGTCTCCACATATTGATGAGTTTACTGAAGTTTACTTTAGTTCAATTTTTTAGTTCCAAAAACAAAAGTGTTGAAGTGTAATGTGCAGTCAACTACAAAGTGATGATATGCCTAGTTGATTTATACCCAGGACTGTTACAGCTTGTGAGATACATCAGTTAGTGGTGCAGTAAATAAGGGGGTCGCCATTTTTCATAAGCACACGTAGACTGGACCCTGGGGTTGAGGGTTAGAGGACCTCCTCTTCATGCAAACTGGAATTCTCAATTCTGATTGGATGATCTGTGGCAACTTAAAGTGTAACATACAGGTGTGCAGCATGGTCCATGTCAAACCTCACGTAATGCACTATTCTTACTCTATGCAATGTGCTATTTTTATGTTAAAAACAAAACACACAATTTCAAAATTTACTGTAAATTCAAAGGTGGCGCATTTGTGCGCACAGGCCCCTATAACATCGTTACTGCTCATGAAGCTTGCTTGAAGATAATTTTGTTATAGCGCTTGCACTCATGTGATAACTAATAATTTATGCTTTTGGAGCCGGAAGGAGGTCCAGAAGAAGAAGAATTTTTGTGTGCTCATAAAAAAGAAATTGAGAAAATGCAGGGCTGTTCAGTTTATCCTCTCGTGCATAATCGTTTTTTAAATTTGTTGTTTGCTATGTTGGAAAGGATTTATATTGTCAAGCAATATTTTCTGGTTGAGTTGCTGCATTTGTAAGTGACCACTGGACATCAAAATTATGATGTGTCTTCCACGAGCTTCCCCAATTCCAACTCAACACTTCTTCCAAGAGGTGTATATTACATGATGTACCAGCAAGAAAAAACAAAAGCAAAAAAGTGGACCACAAAGCAGATATGGTCAAGGATAGTGATGTTTATGGCCTCTTGGTCAGGGCTTATTACTCAGTCCAAACAACTAGTGATTAGATCGCCCTTGGCTTTTGTTAAATCATTCCATGCCATGAAGAGTGGCATAAATGCCAGCCCAGTGACCCCCACATTCGTGATCAGTTTCCTTGAGTTTTGCAACATCTATATCAAACCGTCAACTATAATAATTTTACATGAACCAATTAATACAAATGATGTGCTCACCCATTGACTTGTACACATGCAGGAATTCCTTGTGTCATATCACCGGGGATGTTCAAACACGATCTTTCTACTTCTGTATGCAGTTCTGGGTGAACTCCATCGTCAAAATTGCTGAGAAAAAGACAATTATGAATATATGATCCTTTCTTATTCAGAATTAAATAAGAGATGGGTAACTCTTTCCAAATATTACAAAACCCCAAAATTGACCTTCACTTTAATACGACTTTAAACCCTCAAAATAGGAAAGAGCGGGATTTGACTTGACACTAATTTATGCAATTCAATGTGGAATAATACCATTAGCTAATGGCTAATTTTGTCAAAACGTTTCATGTGTTTTAATTGGCAGCTTGTCGTCAGCGTCTTGGCATGGAGTCAGGAGTGATCACCGACAGTCAGATCTCGGCCTCCTCCTTTTTCACCGACAGACCCCCCACCAATGGACGCCTGCACTGGGAGTTCCTCGCGGCTTCCAACTCCAAAAGATATGCCTGCTGGGGTCCAAAGCATGAGTTGGGCTTGGCAGAATGGCTACAGGTTGATCTGCTGGTCCCTCACACCATCACTGGTGTCATCACGCAGGGAGCCGGCAACTCCTGGAGGTACTACTGGGTGGAAGGGTACAAGATTCAGTGGGAGAGTCCCTATGAGGAGGGAGTATATCGCACCTACAAGGACCTGCAGGGAAGGGACATGGTAAGTGATTAGGTTTTCTATCTGTTAAAAGATTTGTTGGGGATGCTAATGGGTTCTATGCTAATGTTTTGTTGCATCAGGCAGTGTTCGTTCCAATGCGCTTTCTAGGGAGTTAGAATGTTCCAGATAAGCCTGAAAGCCAGTTGTTTGAAATGTGAAGGACTTGAATGTGACACAGCTATGAATAGCTTCCCTTTAACACCCAGTCTTGAGTCAGTAAGCACTGGAATGTGACACAGCTATGAATAGCTTCCCTTTAACACCCAGTCTTGAGTCGGTAAGCACTAGAATGTGAAACGGCTATGAATAGCTTCCCTTCAACACCCAATCTTGAGTCAGTAAGCATTAGAATGTGACACAGCTACGAAAAGCTTCCCTTATAACACCCAGTCTTGAGTCGGTAAGCGTACAAACATTTGGCAAAAGCAATTACAGAACAGTAGTGATACCTTAGTGAAACAATCCATCGTGTGCTCACATAACGTCCTCAGTCTCATACACCACTTGCTGTTTGTGGACATCTTTTGTTCTTAGGTCCACACAAAGAATGCCATACGTGTCTGACATGGACAATAGTTATCTTCCAACCATGTAGTGGAAGGAGATCAATATAAGGGCCCAGTGTTTGTTGTTCTTATTCAGTTCGGGCAGTATTTCAAGACAGCTTTAGAAGGTTTGTTTTTAAAAGGGAATAAATTTGTGCTTGACTGGGTCTTAAACGTTTGTTTGGACATGACTAATGACGTGACGAATCACTCTGTATTGTGTCAAAATTATGTATCGCACCTTTGTCAACCTTGCCTTAAAATTTATCCGATGCCATTTGCAAGCAGTGTGTGATATTGCTCTGGGAAGTTTGATTTGACATGCTTACTTTCTTCAATGTGTCCCTTAGGACATTAACACTTGAGGTTACCATCCACACTTTCTGGCGTTCTCAGTTTTGACACGAAAATGCTGTCTTTGCATCTATAATGCCAAGAATGAACAAACAATTACTGCCTACGTGAAGTTGTCTGTGAGCTGTGTTTGAATAAATTCCTCACATACTGACAGCAACCTGCTAGTAGCCTCCCTGGAAGTGGTGCAATCATCAATGTCATTCGTCAGTGACTGTATAAAAAGTACATTGGTAACAAGATTTGGCATTTTAGAAACGGTCAGAAATGATGGTACTGAAGAAAATGGAAAAGATGCGAGGTTTATGTATCAGAAAAGTAATCAAGTCGATAAAACTCTGCCCCAGTGGCAGTCAAGGAGTTGCACCGTCTTCCACTGTGTTTTCCTACCCATAATTCTTTTTCTCTGGGGTGAGCAATCCCTTACTGATGACGAGACAGTCCTTTACTTTTGGTGTGTACCTAAGTGGTATGCTCCCACGCAATGTTTACTGAGGCCAAATTGCACATTCCTCAGCTATAAACACTTTCAAGAAAATAAGAGCTGCGCTGTCTGTCATTGTCAGTTTCATTTCCTAGCTTACTGGTCTGTGAGTTTATTATATTGAATGGCATAAGAGCCAAACAGGTCGGAATTAAGAGCATTCTGTATTCAGCATTTTGACCTTTATCAAAGATGTGACTGGATCCCTTCAGATTGATCTTAAAGCTGAAGTTTAGACAATTCTGTTTCTGTTTGCCCCACAATAGAACAAATTGAGCTCTTTGCTTTGATGTGTCATCATCCATTTTGGTAGCCAGATAGAAACGAACAATGGGTGGTGAAAAATGTTGTGGGTTCCCAGTGATTCACACGGTGCATGATGCTCTTGAAATGCCTTTCACTTGAGTGTTGCTCTGGCGACTTGTGACATATTTTGTTTTGGCTGGGTCACAAATGCTTGATCAAAATTAATAGTTGAGAACAATGGACATCAAGCTACATACTTGCAACCTTTTCTGCACGTGCTCAGTGTACATTTTCAATGCAACACATTGTATTCAGGCAGGTATATTCAAATTCAACATAAAGGTGGATATTTAGTTTTATGAGGAATGCAACCAGGGCCCAATTTCATTAAGTTGCTTAAGCACAAAATTTGCTGAAGCGCAAAAAACCTTGCTTAAAAAACAAAGTTTACCAGCACAAAATCTACGTGATTGTCGTGTTAACCAAACACTAGATGAATACCATTCCGAAGCAACATACATCACATGGAGTTTTGGCTGGTAACCTGATTTGTCAAGCAAGGTTTCTTCACACTTAAGCAAATTTTGTGCTTAAGCAGCTGTATGACATTGGCCCCTTTTACTTACCACAGCAAAAATGACAAAAATGACATTGAAATTTCAGAAATCATTTGGTTGTGGAAATAGAGCATTTAGGAGGAGTAAAAGGAGAAGAAAATAACTGTTCAATTTTTTTGGCGGGGGGATCGGGTTTTGTTGAAGTAATCTTCAAGTTCAGAGAAGCGCCTTGTTTCAATTTTTTTTCCAACATCAGCTTGACTGAGTGCAATATATTCTTCACATGAGATGTGAAATGTTTGGGCTTAAATTTCTGTGTCACAAGTTCTTCTCAAACGTGTCATGTCTGTCGCAGATATTCCCAGGTAACAGTGACCAGAACTCTGAAAAGCGCAACGACCTTGATCGACCCTTCATCACCCGACAGGTGCGGATCATATCCCATGCGTGGCATAACATCACAGCCTGCTTGCGTGTGGAGTTTTTGGGATGCCCCTTACAAGGTATCGTTTTTGTGGCAGGATCAAGACTTCTCGTTGTCGTTATCTTCCGTTCAGCAAATCTGATGTTGTAGTTTAGCCAAGCATGACGCATACTCACAAGAACATGCTGATTGATTCAATCAGTGAGTTACATTTACCATTGGTGCTTTATACACACACGTAGAAATACATGTAATCATGGAACCGGAAGTTAACACGCATCTTTTGTGCGTGCCCGATAGGAGCCCGTGATCGTGGTGCATCCCCATGTACGACAAAGTCACTTATGAACCAGATATGCTTTCTTCGCTGAAAAGTCGTACAAGTATCGTTGTCATAGAAACAACTTTTCTGGTGGTTTCTGTGATTTTCTGTAGTATCATCCTGTCCTCCCCTAATCTCATCCTGTTTCGTTTCCTCCTCTCTGCTCACCGTTGTCCTTCCTTGACACAAACATTTTGCGATCAGGCAATGGTAGGATATGCGGCAGCCTGACGCTAGGCGGTTACTGCCTGGGTTCCATCAACAACCAAAGCCCCACGGCTTGTCAAGAGATCTTCAGCGAGGGCAGTCACCCGCTGATCATCAACTCCCAGGAGCAGCAGAATAAACTCTGGGAGAAACGCAATCAGTTGCTGATTGAAAACCAGCACAGGTATGAACGTGTGACTTATTTTGAGTTTTTTTAAGGGCAACTCGTATAAACAAAAGCAAGTGCTGTGAAGGAGACTTTCTGGTCACTGATTTACACAGCCTTTATACATCTCAGATCTGAGGAATACCAGGGAAGGAAGAGTTTAGCCTTCGGATCATTTGTGGGGGGCACCAGGAATTTGTAGGGGCACGCCACCCCCCCGGCCTCCTCGTGGCTACGCCACTGGTTAGAGGTGGAAGAAAAACCCAAGAGGAATATTCCCTAACTCTCTTACTATTGAATCATTTAATACCTGCAAGTACATGTGAAGCTACAAATGCCAGTCAGATGAATGCATGGTTTGAGGAAGACCCTCACAGGGCCGATAATGAGGAAGGCTGGTCCTAAATTGCATTACATTTGAGTTGGAAAAGAAGGAAATAGGAACCAGGTTTGCTTTCTCAGTAGATAGGAAGATTGATATAAGCCATGTCTGAATGGCATGGCTACGGCTTCATCCATCTCCTATAGACTCATGTAATATCTCTAGTCATAGCCGAGTCATTCAGATGCTGCTGTAATCGTGAGGATCCCACAGTCAAGCTTTCGTAAGAATTAATCCCACTAACCTGCCTGAATCCAACAAGCAAGTGCATGCTTTCAATGATCCCTTGGGATTTAGGGTTAAAGGTATATCACGCAGGCAGTAGCGATCATTGTAAGATGCAATGAAAGCAAGGACTGAGTCGCACGCTTACAGGGAAGAGTGAGAGATGAAGTAACTGTTCACTATACTCCCAACTGATCAAATGCAAAGACACCTACAACTAGAAGGCTTGTGTTGCTGGCAATTCTCAAGAGACCTTCACATGGCTTCTCTATGCCACCGTACTTTGGAAGATCCCAAGAAAGGTCCAATCGGTTTCCTCTTCATAGCTCATTAGATAAGTCCCTTGGTAATACACATACCCAATATAGGAAGGCGAACCAGTACCCTCATTTGTTTATTTGGAATGACTTCAGGTACCCACTTTGTGATTCAAGCCGCAAGTTTTTAGCCTAACTTTGATGTTGTTCATGACAGATAATTAATACATCAATTATACTCAGTAGTCGATTTCCAATATATCGATTAACAAATGTGTTATTGATTGACTGTATTCTTACCATTGCACTCATAAACATTCATTGTTTGTAATCTTCTACCTTCATCCAGGTATCTGATTGGCTTAAGATTTCGCCACAGTGACAAGACTTACCAATGGGTAGACGGAACTCCGCTTACATACAAGAACATCCGTTGGGTGTTGGATAGTTACAATCATTCCGTTGATTACTGCGTTTCCATGGATTCTGAGGATTTATTTTACTGGAGAGAAGAGGAGTGTGTCACTGATCATGTGATGCAGGCACAGATATGTCAAATCGGTAAGAAAGCTTCAATGTTAAGAAACACAATGATTTTAAATGGGTTAGGCTCTCAGCAGGGCTCATGATCTTGGGACTTTGCCAAGATCATTGTCACCGTTGAGATCCCTTGAGACCATCAAGACTGCACAAGACCATCACAAGATTAACCTATGTCCCCAAGCCTGGATTCAAATGCTGTTTAAAGGAACAGCACCATAAATATCCCATAATGTTTGTGCTCGTCCTGTTTTCCTGACTGCCTTGTGAGTGGTCTTTTACAGTGGTATTAACCACAATACCACAGTCCAGCAGAAGCAAAATGTCTAAAACAGCACCACAGATGTCAACTGTTAATACTCTGAATAACAAATGCATTTTATGAAACAGTGTTTTGGTTTCCTAGAAGTCTTTGAGAGGAATGACCTCTTTTCTCCCATTACGTGCAGATATCGATGAGTGCATATCTGTGGATCATGGCTGCTCCCATGAATGCGTCAATGTGCTGGGCTCCTACTACTGCGTATGTCCACATGGTTTTCGTCTCAATGAAACAGACCTCAAGACATGCACAGGTGAATATTACAAAAAAATTTCAACCATCAGTCGGCATTTCTCCTCTCAAACATGACATAAATTTTGTGGTATTCACACTTCGATGGGTTAGAAATCTGTTCATCATCTCCACCAATAGAGTTTATATTTTTGCATCGTTCAGAATTTCATTTTGTAGTCTGCAAAGACATGCTTCACATAATGGGTTGAAATGAATTAATGACAAGTATAAAATTCCGAGTGTCTTAACTGATTAGCTTGTCCAACTCTATGCGTCTTGAATGTTTGTCCTCAGATCCTTGTGAGTTCCAAGAGCAAGACCTCGCCCCAATCCATTTTGAGGACAAGGGAGACAGTTGTTATGGCACTTTTTCTCAGGATGCAAATTGGACGGAGGCGTCGACAACATGCAGTAGTGTAGGCAGTCATCTGCCACAGGCTGATGACAACGTATTCCTTTGGGTAAGATATTTTTCCCTCAGCCATTGTCAAGATCAGTTGATTTCTTCATTTTTTTTATCTTGCCTGAAATGCACTAATACAAAATCTTCTGCTTGTACATTTCTCATTTTGTTGTGATAACCTATTTTCAGTCCTGCTGATTTTCCCATTTTTAAGTAAAAACAGTTTTTCAACTTTCACAAACAAACCTTTGGATCTTTGCATAACACATGCCGTTTGGGCGGTAAAAACATTCATACCATCTTGTAGAGCAGATAGGAATGTCCTTTGTAATTACTTTTTGTTAGAAGGTCAACAAGGCATCTGCCTCACCAGGCAGCTTCAAACTGTGTTTAATTTCCCAGCTCTCACCAACTCCTGTCCTAGAGTACACATCTTAAAAAAACATGAGCATATGGCATGTAGTGTGTGTATATTTGAGGAGGAATTAGTCATATACAGTTGGCTCTGCTGGCAAGTTCTGAGCATTGCATGTGTCAAATGAAATGCACGAGGTACAAGTGCCTGGGCTTGACTTTTGTCTGAAGGTCAACTATGTGTCTGCCTCCATTGCACAGAGACTCAACAAACTGGTGTTCTTCCACAGACAGCTTCAATCAAATTTGCATTAAATTTTCCAGCTCTTACCAACTTCTCTTGACACTGTTTATCCTGCTGTTATCACATTAAGGGTGTCTAGTCCTTTGCAGTAGGCATTTGTCAAAGACAATTGCCATGTACTGGCAAACTTTCTGATGGATGCGATCCATTCCGATGATGTGTATAAAATCTACATTTATGTAGAATTGTGTATGATTTAATGTGCACTTCACAGAATTTCTACTTTTTGGAAGACTTATCTCATTTATTTTTGCAGTTGTAATACAAAAGTTAATTGCAGTAAATTTTCATCTCTTCAGTAAAACCTCTTGTACTCTGACGTGTACTCAAACCAATAGGATTGTTCATCTTTATTTCTGGCAGTGTTGTTTGGATTTTTTTCTTATATTCCAGGAGTTTCAACCCATTTTTCTCTTCCCTGTTCTCAGTTAGATACAGCACACAGCGATGAGTGGTTGTCATGGGTGCAAGCTGAGATGAACAGTTCAGCCAGAAATGAGTGCCAGGCTGTACGAACAAACAACAACAGCATCATGGTTGAAGACATCCTGTGCTCTGAGGATCTACCCTTTATCTGTCAAAGAGGTATACCTTAGATGTTTATAAAATGCACACCATAAGAGACAAAATGTGTTTCAGGCTTGTAGTGGAGAAAAATTCCAACAAATAAATACAGACCAAAAAATCTCTGAGTTTTAAATTGATACTTAGACCAATTCCTAAATAGGTCACGTTTATGTTTACGAAAATGAAACCTCCAAAATGTTTTCAGAAGTTCAGCTACCAGTGTCTCGCAATGTTGAGTTCTTGTCAAGAGGGGTGCCGTATTTTAAACCAGTCTCTACAATCATACCCACTTTTTCAGAGTATGAAGATGTGAAATGCAACTCGCTGTGGGCTTCCAACACCACCATGGTTGAGTCCACATTGTCAGAGGGGTACATACAGTCACTCAGCTATGGCCCTTGGTATGATGCAGGCTCAACATGTACAGTCCACATAAGAGGACCACAGGTCTACAAAGTCAGGTAGCCTACAAAGTTACTTATAAACACGTAAAACTAGCTAGACATATCTACTGAGCTATGCCTTTTAGATTTTGAATTTCATACATTTCTGTATGTGAAGTACCAAAGAGATGCTAAATACGAGGAATTGGTGAAAAACTTGGATTCACAGCCAACTGGTCAAAGTCAAATGTGGTGACTGCTGTTATTAATATTTTTATTGTTACCAACATTGGCAGTACAAACAAAATAAAAGTTTCTAAAAATCAGTTGGTAAAAGTGGTCCTTGGGGCAGAATCAAATCAAATCACATGCTAGTCTTTTTCAAGTGCTTTGTATGTTGCTTGTAGCCTGATATCAAATGACTGCATATCTTGTTCACCTCGACCGAAGGCTACTGTACCTTTAGTTAACAAAAAAACCCACAAAATAAATGTGACAACCTTAAATGTTTTCATTTTACCAAAGAAAAGTTGCTGAAGTGTTTCATTGTGCAATTTTTGTTTCAGATTGGTCATCTCTCGGATGGCTCTGAGAAAAGAGACACTGGACAACAGTCAGATCTCCCGCTGCGTAGACTCACTAGAGATCACCGATGACATCCCTAGCTATGGTCTCTTCCCTAGAGGGCGCTATTGTGGCACACTGAAGGACGTGGAGATCGTAACTCGTTCAAGCGACGTCCGGGTCATGTACACCATCGGCCAGCTTAGTGCCAACATGCCACGGGAACTTGGCTTTGTGGCCAGCTACAAATTCATCAGTAGGAACTTTCACTTTGCATTTATTGAAACTTCTTTTCACTTTCTTTGTTGTAGTGGAGTCTGTCACAAGCTCAACCACAAGTAACGTGATGACCAATAGCAAAGGAATACTTCTGTCACAGTTCATTTGAGTAGCTTGTGGCGCATGATGGACCCATGTGGAGGTTTACAGTTTTCTGTTATAACATTGAAATTGTCAAAACTTCATTCTGGAAAAGAATGAAGTGCGCTCTGTTTTAAGCCTGTTTTCTCCACAATTATTAAAATTGCACCTTTTGGAACTTGACTTCCATAAAAACGTTTTTGTTTACTGACATAACTTTTTTGGGAAGCCTTTCCCACCTGCTCAAGGAGCATAAAAAGTTGCTGATGCAGCAAAAACTTCTGTCAATTGTTATTTGTTGTTGATGTAAGATCCCAGATTAAATTCCACTGCACAAAAATGAGGTTCCGAACTTTGCTATTGTGAGATAGAATTTAGTCATGTTGATAAACGGAGGTAAACATTCTCATCAACAAAAGTCTCTTTCTCACATCTACATATGCTTTAATAATTTTTTCTAAGAAATCCTAATGCAGAACTGGTGATCGGGATTTCATTATACCTACTTTCAGTTTCCTTTACACTTTTTACTCCTTGAGTTTTTTGTTTGACTGATAACTGAGGCATGGACTTACTACTACTATCTGTCTTTGCTTTCAGATTGCAGTGAAGAGGACTGCGACACGGACTGTGGCAGTAATGCTACACTCCTGACTGACCCCAGCGGTAGCCTGGTCACCAGGAATTTTCCAGCCCGCTTACCACCTTTCAGCACTTGCGCCTGGCGGATCAGGCTAGCTAAGGGCAGCTTCATCCGGCTACATTTCCAAGATTTCCGAGTGGTGCAGGACTCTGAAACCGGCGACTGTGTTGATTGGGTCGTGGTCACCAGAACCGATGAGATTGCTAGTAACATCAGCCTGTTGGACCCATCAACGAAGAAACTCTGTGGAAGACCCCCGCCACAGATACTCTCCGAGACGGAGGAGCTATTTGTGCTCTATCAGACTGGCCTCGATGTATTGTCGGCAGGATTCAGAGCAACGTATACATCTACAGGTGAATTTGACATCAGGCACCAGACTTTGTGACTTTGGTTTGACAGTCCAACTTGTCTTTATCGTGCCAGTCTTACTGATACATATTGTGCTTGAATTTGGAACACAAGATGACTCAGTTTGCTGTGTGAATGACAAGTTGTTGATTTAGGCTTTTATCAAAATACATCTAGTGAAAACATTAACCAAATTATAGGAAGGGTTTAACGGGGATTATTTTTGTCTTGTAGTTTACATAGCCTACATTTGAACAGTAGTGTAGCTTCAAAAACTTTTGACAAAACAGGAAATTTAAATTTAGATGAAAAACAAAAATACACCTGATAAAGTGCGAATGGCAGAATGAGCTATGCAGTTCAGTATTCCAAACAGTGCATGCCCAAAATGAAGCATGTCATAGGACATTTGGAGGCGTTTGTGAGGTCTGGCCTATCTGTGCAGCCCTACGCCGACTTGCACGGGTGCTTTTTTCCCTTGACCTTGCTTTGTTGAAGCACCAAACTGATTCATTATCTTTGTTAACGTCAGAGATAGCTTGCCACTTCATCTCTTTGTCTGAGTTGTCCTTAATTATAGTCTCATTTGTTTGCAGCTTTGCCTGGGTGCGGTGTGGGCCTTGACACAGCCTCCAGAGACCTTGAATGCCACGCCCCCGAGGCCGTCCTGACCTCGCCCTATCATCCCTTGCGTTATCCTGCCCACTCTCAGTACAGCTGGCACATCTCCACGCCCATGGCCACCTACATCCGTCTGATTTTCAGTGCCTTTGATGTCCCATCGGCCCAACCCTGTACTCAGGATCATGTGGCTATCTATGACGAGAGTTCCCAACAGCATGGGTTGTTGGGGGATTATTGTAACTCCCGACGACCTCCAGATGAGGTGGTGTCCAGTATGAATGACATGCTGATCTACTTTTACACTCAAGAACCGTCTGGTGGGACAGGCTTCGACGCTACATATTACGCTTCATACTTCAAACCTAAAGTGTCTTTGGAAAGTCCTTACGATGATGGTGAGTCATGAGCCTTGTTAAGTTTCTTTAAACGCAAGACCCAGTGTTTTTTAATCAATTCTGGCAAGTAAACTAGACAGGCAAACTAACTAGAAACTATTAGAAGATGAACAAAGAAATTGATTGGAGAAAGACTTGAATCTGCATCCTCAGGAACGAAGGAAAGTAAAGTTGCTGTTTTAACCCCAAAAATTGATCTTTTATCGCACGACTTCTTTAATCATACCTTTACTGATAGAGATGTTTTAGTTAAAGACCTTTTATCAACTTATTAAGGATTTAAGACTAATTCTTTTTTGTGTCAATGGAAGTTTTGCCCTTCATCGGCGTCCATTTAAAACATCACGTTGTTGGGGTGTTGTTCAAAGGTTTGTAAAAACTTCAGAACATTGTTCAAAGGTTTTTTAAAAATTCAGAACGTTGTTCTGGTAAAAAGTGTTGTTCAAAGGTTTGTAAAATCAGAACGTTCTGGTAAAAAGTAAATTTGATACTGAAACAGTCTTAAAGTCATTTTGTCATTCCTTCAAGGAAAAGGTTTATTTAGAACTTTGCAGAAATGTCAAAAAATTACATAATTCATGGCGTTTTTATACACTGTTCTGCATGAGGCCAGATGTTTCAAGAATGGTTTGTCCTGTCTTAGATTACATTTGCGAGGATGATTGGACTGAATACTACGGCAGCTGTTACCACTTCCATCAGGAGAATGCCACACTGAAATGGAAGGATGCTGAGAGGCAGTGTGTCCTAGAGGATGCCCTACTGACCAGCATCAGGGACTACGGAGAGATGAACTTCCTTCACCTTATGCTGACGTCTGACTGGTTTACGGAGCAGACTGCCACTTACATAGGTAGAGTGAGGCAGAGCTGGGGTTTTGGTGCAAGGCTGGTTGCCGTTTCAGGACAACGGCACGAGAATATTGAGTGATGTGTCAACTGAAGAACTCCGTTCACCATTCCTGCAGGCCAACTTCAAACAAAACTGCCACCCAAATGGCCTTCAAATAAGTTTTTGTAGGATCTCACATTCAAGCAAGTTTTTCTTAGAGCAGTTAATTTCTTCTTTTTCTTGATTTCCCTGTACACAAACACAAATTGGGCAAGCAACAAGTCTTGCACAGCCCAGAATTACCTTCTTTTCTTGAGTTCCAATTCAGTTCCAGGTTGAGATTGGTACCAAGATTGAGCTTGGTTGACTAAAACCAGACACTGTGAGGCAACCACCAAATACCAGACCTGAGTAAAAGAGAAAGAATCATTATATTCTTTATTATTGGTGAACACTTCCAAAGCCTAAGTAAAAAAAACTCAAATGCATTAAAGCAATAGCTCTGTTTTCCCCAAAACTTGGGCATGTTCATAAATTTTAAATTTTTGATCCTTTTCGTAATTACGCCCATGGATTTTGGCAGTATTCATTATCCTCAGTTCTCCAAAACTTACAGATTGAGGAACATGCTTATCTTGGACATTGTCAAGCCATATTACAGGAGCATTATCAAACTGTCTTTGATGTGACTTTGGTAACTTTTGCTCTCTTGTAGGTCTAACTGACATGGAGGATGAGGGGCATTTCCGATGGTTGGATGGCCGGCCTCTCAGTTACTCTGATTGGTCAGTTCAAAGGTGGGAGGAAAGACTTTATGAAGATGGAACATTTTACACTTTATTTTTCTTCATTAACTCAAGTTTATACTGATTGCTGCTACTTCCTACTACAGTGTGTAAGTCTGGTTTCTTATCCCTATCTACCAAGCTTGCAGAGTTGAATCCTCACAGAAATGTATCCTGAGCTCAGATTTATCTATTGCAAAATCAAATCTTCGTCCCATTGAAACCATTTCGTTGTCTAGAATTTGTTCTTGAATTGTCTGTCCCATTTCAATCTGCTATTCTAAACCACTGCTGATTTCACTACCTGATCTTCTGCACATTATATGCCAGTAAAAGGATGTAACCAGTTGAAGATTCCCTTATCCTTGGAGCAAAAAAGTTGCTAGGTATGTGTTAGTAAGACAAATGACAAAAATGATCCATATAATTCATAGTCCTCAACTAACTCTTGATTTTGCCAGTTGTAACTCACTAACTGTTGTGAGTGTTTCTTGTTGACTTCAGTGATGGGAGAACCCAGCCTGATGGAGGCGTTCTGGAGGATTGCTCTGTCATCTTGATGTCCAACATGCACTCCACACAGAACTGGAATGATATCCCGTGCTCCTTGCCTAAAGCAAGGCAGTTTATCTGCAAGAAACCAGCCCGCAAAGAAAGTTAGTCATCCTCATGGACATGTCCCAGAATAGTCATTGGAAGTCTATAATGTACCTTGTTTTTCCCTGCACCCTAGAAGCCTCTTAATTAATTTTGCGTAATGTATTGGAAGCCCCTTGGGTTGCCATACATTGTTGATGTCTGAACTGAAATACATTTTGCAAGCTTTCCTTTCCCGCAGTGTTATGAAAAATATTTAAAGAATTTATTATGTACGTTCACTCTTGTAATCCAAACTTAATTTCATTTTTGCTCATAAAATCAATTTTTGCTTTACGTTCCTTTATTGTGGATTTTCCCTGAACGGTCAACAGGGTCGTAGATAAAGTCCATTGGTTATCTTCCGAGAGATATTTTGAAAATTACTTTTGAAATTTTGTGAATAGAAATGCTGTTAGTTACATTCACACAGTTGTCTCTGACAGTCCATAAACAAAAGAATACTTGTCTCCTGGTCAGGAATTTGTGTGAGTTTTACCATTTACGTGAGCGTTGAAACACCAAGCCAAGCTGTTATTGTTGTTTTCAAAATCAGATGGATCAGAGCCTGTTGTACCACAGACTGTTGGAAAGCTGCAAACAAAAGGTAGGAGTGAGAGTGGTTGTAATTACCAAAATTAGAGATCTTAGATGTTGCTGTTCTGCATCATTAACTTTGAAATCATATTCCATATTCGCTGGTGTGTCCAGCTCTTAATTTGTGACCAGATCCCATAAAATGAGAGTGCAGCGGCATATCTAGCTAGAAGGGGGAGGGGCTTACTCATCAGGGGACGAGTTGCCTCCCTCTTTTTTTATGGAATTGAAAACCCTTAGACCTAAGTACCATACTGGCACCTTCCTTGAGAGGGAGGAGTTCTACTTACTGGAGCAACTTTTTCACGATCCGCCGTTGGTTTTTGTTGGTAGTGATGCGACTGCGATGCTTGCCTTGACTAGTTGTTCATGAACCAGCAATGTGCAGTTAGTACCAAAGGAGCCTCTGTTGCTAAGGAAATAGCGCCCTCTCTTGGTCCAGCTGAAGGCCCACAGCTGGATATGCTACAGGAGTGTTAGTCTTACAAAGGCTACTATTTTCTGTTTGTTTCAGTTGTTTTGACGCACACCAGACCACTCGGTTCTGTATTCATATTAAAATGAATGTAATGTTGGGTGAAAAGTGTTGAGGCTTCCTGTTTATTTGTATCAGCAAGATTCTTCTTCAATAGCTCTGGCCATTTTTATCTCACTTTGTGGGTCTGGATCACATTTACTTTTTTGTGTGTATTTCATAGAATGCAATTCTGGATGGTCTCTCGCTGCGGACATGTGTGCCCGCCTTGCCCTGACCCAAGATGGCTTCCTCATCTCCGGCGACAGCCCCACCGACTGCGTGACTGATGTCCGGCTCACGCCGGATCGCCTCGCCACTGTCTTCTATCTCATCAAGCACGTCTGGGCCAACTCCTCGCTCCAGCAGGAAGGGTTCCGCATCGCCTTAGGGAGGACGGGAGGCGACCAGATGTGGGAGGGTCGCAGCATTGAGGAAGAGGATTGTGAGGGGGTAACTTACACTGACGGTCAGTGGGTGCTAGAATCTAATATCAACTGTGATGGCCCAGTATCAGCTGTGGTGTGCTACCAAGAGGCTAGAGGTATTCAAACTTTAGAAAAAAATGTTCGGACTTCAAATGACTTTTCACATTGTAAAGACCCTTTTCTAAATTGCCATCTGGAATGTGGTTCTTGCTGCAGGAATTGAGCATACATGAAAATATGTTCACGCTCCTTGACATTTTGGAATATTACATTAACCAAATTGGGAAAAACACCAAGAAATGCTGCTATTTTCATGTAACAAATTGAAATTTACTGCATTATAAGAATGCTACTTTTGAAATGAAGCACCTGCATAGCCCCCTCTCAAACTGGGTTTGAATTTCCAGCATCGTACAAACTTTTTTGCTGACATGGACACCTTGGCTTCATTTATCTGAAGATGTGCGTTCTTGTATTTCTAGACTAAATCCCAAAAGGATACAATTACTGTAGGCTTTTCCCACATGTGCATGTCACCTGTGTTTTAAAACTCGAGGCACGCTGCACTTTGGCAAGTCAAAGAAGCATGCGCATGCATGAATAACTATGGTGAGCATGCTACCACCGGCAGTAATGGTTTCTGGGTCTCGTCAAAAGATTAGTTTATAAAACATAACTGTTGGTCACGCCAGAATCCACAAAGGAGAAGTTAGACTTGTTTCCTAATTTGACGAATTCTCACAGATCTGAGCCAGCAATGTGGTGATTCCATGTTCTTCTGTGACAGCGGTGAGTGTATACAGCAAGTGTATGTGTGCGACGGCGTGGTCGACTGCGCAGACAATAGTGATGAAACTGTTTGTGTACCAGGTAAGACATGCTGGACATTTAGAATAAAGCCTTACTGCACTGGACTGTTCCTTGTCAAACACGCCAAGACAATGGGTTTTTTTCCCATTTCAAGTCCAGTGGAGACATCCCAGGAAGTGTTCCTCTCGGTTACTTTTACTGAGCTGCGCGGACATTTCCACCGGCCAACTTCTGCCCAGGAAAAAATTCCCGAGATGGAAAGTCCGGTGCAGACAGAGGAAGTTGGTAAAATCATGGAAAAATAGCCCAGTAGAGCAAACAACCTGCCCGAGCACAATGGCATTCTTCATACAAGGAAATTAGCATGAGCGCTGCGCTTTTCGTCGCGGTGTGGCATGTGGTGAATATTTCAAGCAAATTTGATCCTCGTTTTGTCTCAGTCATTGCCACATTTGACCGTTTTTCATTTGATCATCAGTTCGGTGAAACTCTCACCAAAAAAAATCCAGTGTGAACACGACTTAAAACATGCTGGATTCATTTCCAGTACTTACAAGAAGTTTTCAGATTCCCCAGATCTGGGGCAGGGTTTCATCAAAATATTATCAAAGCATTTTAGCAGTTAGTGTTAACTTCTTGTGAAATGGCTTCCTCAGTCCATTGCTCAGTATCACAATATTTTAAAAATTTATTCCAGCCACAAAATGGAGTGTGATGTATCGACAAATGTATTAATTCATGTGCATTGTAAAAAATAGCAACCTTTCTGAAACCTCCTAAGAGGTAAGGAGTGAAAAACTAAGGACCCTTTTATCTATTGGTTTTTAATTTAATAATGACAAAAATAAGTAGCTTTTCGTAGTAATCTCCAAGCTCTGCTGCTTTGTAAAATCTGTACCAAAACTAACCTTAATGTAATTTTCTTTGTACAGTGGGAACCATTGGACCGAGTGAGTGTCGTGTTTTGTTACATTTTGCAGCACTTTATGATTAGGTTTTTGCACAAAAACTGCCAATTCAAAATATCCAGAAGGCACTTCACTTTCAAAAAATACCAGATCCTGTCCATATTTGCACACTTTATCCCACTTCCCCTGAGCCACCTTTTTTTCATCTTTTTAGGTTCTATGATTTTGAAATTTGTCTCGTTATTGGATGTCCACAAGTTCATTGGCAATAAATAGAGGTCTGGTTTATAGCTCCGTGATAGGATTTTCCCACAAACACTCGGCATGCTCTCAACTTCAGTTTCAATGTCATCTGGATGAAGTTAAGAGTTTGATTGCCGACATTGGTGTGTCAGAAAGATCCTCTCAATAGTTGACTTTGCTTACTTCTTAAGATTCTCGTGCAACATGTTGGAATATCACCCAACAGCAAAGCGTGTGTAAAAAATGATGTAGCAATTTTTGTTTCAGTGCCAGATTTTAATTCTGCATGGCATCTAATAGTGATGATTTACTTTCCTTTTTATTTTTGAATGATGAAGCTGTACCATCCAAAAGATTCTGGAAATGCATCCAGTTGTGTATAGTACTGTCAATTGTTTTGAAACCATAAGTTGTTCTGTGTATCACCGACCAGTTCCTAGCCATTCACTCTAGATACTTGCACTGTCTTGGACATTGACACACTCTTTGGCTGCGTTTGCATGTGTTACTTGTGGCACTCAAGGGTTAGGAGAACTGCTTGGGGATCACAATGCATGAGTGGCCCGTTGTTATTTTTCTGCCGGCTTGAAAAAATAACAACCAGTGAAAGAGTCCTGGTCCGATTTTGAGTAAGTCTTGCTTACCCACAGATTGTACTCAAGTGAGTTTGTGTAATTAGGAATGTACTCATGTTAACCCGAGTAACACACTCAAATGCAGCCTTCGTCTCCTGATGTACGCTGTGTTTTGCACCAATGCACGGCCCATCCTTTCCCTTATAGCCTAAACCTTTTGCGGGTTAGATTTGAATAATATCTGGTTCACTGAATTACCTGATTGCGCATAAACATAACAATTTGAATTCCTCAGACTAAATATACTATTGTTGCTATACCTCGTGATTTGGGGCAAGCTTTTGCTTAGCGACCACCATCTCTGGAATGACTTGGTTCCTTTGTGCCCTTCTCATCCATTGAAAAGTGTGTTGTTGCGTAACTAAGTAAAAGCTTGCCCTGAATCATGAGGCTCATTTGAATGAAAACAGAATCTTAATTTGATTTGTTGCTTCACAAAGAACAGTTGCTAGGAGAAATTCCTTATTCTTTTTATTACATATGTTTTAGTTCAGTTGGTAGTTGAGTAATGGATCTGCATTGATTTTCAGACACGACTGATGTGGCACGCTTTTCAGCCAACTGTAACAGCGAGCTGTTCCATTGTACCAGCGGGAGCTGCATATCTCTCTCCTTCCTCTGTGATTTCATTCGTCAGTGCCCTGATGGCTCGGACGAGGAGCACTGTGGTCAGTAACTCATTAACTAAAGCTCGGACGTCAACATTATCTCAGATATGTGGATTATCCCCGATTTAGACTGGAAAAATCAGAGAGAAGATTCAATGAGGTGGCAATATGTGACATTTTGTCACAGATGTGAGCAGCATGTATATATCAAGATCATCATCATCATCAGCCGTTATCTAGTCCACTGCCAGACGAAAGCCTGAGCAGGCCAATGCCGATTTGCTCTGTCTCTAGCTGCTGTTTGCCACTGAACAGTGCTCCAACATCAAGTTACTTTGAGTGTAAAACTCTTCTGCTTGTTTCCAAGTTCTAAATCCACTTTTAGCCCTTCTTGACCGTTTCATTTGATCGTTTGTTTCACAGATTATCCAGCTTGCCATCCATCTGAGTTCCAATGTGCTAACGGTCAGTGCATCAACAGCGAGAATCAGTGTAATATACATCGGGATTGCCTGGATGGATCAGACGAGATCAACTGTGGTAAGAGGCAGTCATGAGTACCTTGAGTGAAAGTCATTCAGATAATCGAGCTTGGATCAGTAAGCCACCATCAGATATTTTCATTTTTGAACCTTTTTGAGGATGACAAATAAATAAAAACTCTTTTGGGGGAGTCGTTACTAGGGATTTGTTGTGAACTATTAAGGGAATAAATATATGCTTGACCAGGATTATTAGAAAGGTCACTGAACTACAGACGGGACATTATCAGACTTATCATTGTCATTTTCTTTAATACACACTTCCCATTCATCAATACCATTTGTGTCAAAAAGTCAGAAATAGTTTGAAAATTATAAATCTCTGACAGTTTTGTTCAGCAATGTTACTTGATTTCCTTGAAACGCTCTACAGCCATGTTATGGTATGTTCCTCTCATGAGCAATGGTAAACCAAGTCCTTAAATGTGTGCAGATTGGAGCCTGTGTGCATTACTGATCTTCAGAAATTGTTTAATGAAATCATGTCACCACAACTTCAACAACTTTCACATTTGAGTTGGAAGATTACATCTGAATTCAAGTCCTGGCGGCTTTGTGGTAACTTTTTTGAATGGTATACAGATACCTGTCAGATGGCCTTCCAGTGCTACGACAGCTCCTGCATTCCTTATCGTGCTGTCTGTGATGCAACCCAAGATTGCCCAGGATTTATACGGGAGGATGAAGGAGGTTGTGGTAAGACCAAACAATCTGTCAAACCTTAAGAGTGCCTCGTGTACATTCCTTGCATTTATACACTCAGGAAATTTGTTTTTCTGCATCCACTTAAGATAAAATCATATACCTTAATTTTTTCAAGTCAAGCAATGGGTGCAATGCTGTAATGCCATAACAAGAATTGATCACTCTAGCTCTGTCAACTTGAAACAGACTCGAAACCAAAGTATGGTTGAGCTGTCTGTATTAGCAAGCCTAAGGAGTCAAAGGTCAAGTTCACCTCAGTAGGTTCAGGAAAAAGAAGTGTCTAGTAATGAAGATTAAGGTGTTGCATGGCAGCTGCTTCACTGGTACCCCTCCCTCAAACTTCATGTGGTTGGAAGGATACCAACATATAGGGCTTGAAATCTCATCAATAATACCTTGTACAATTGTCTGTCTCTCTGCCAGACTATTCAAGAGACCCCGACTTCCAGTGTGGTGCCAACCAGCTGCGTTGCAACAATGGTGCCTGTGCCGACATGAAGCATTGGTGCATTTACGACTTTGACGAGTTTGGTTACCAGACGGGCTGCCGCGATGTCACACATCTTCGATTCTGTGGTACACCTCTCAAAAATCTCCATATATGATCAGAGATTTGATTTTGTTCAGGAGTGTTTCATGGGTTTGAAAACTTGATGTTAGTGTAGCTTAAATTCATGAGAACACATAAATTTGGATTTGTTGAACAGTGTCATGATCAAATTTATTTTTAATTTGTAGTATCAATAGTTTAACCAGTAGCGTATCTCTTTGAATTTTTGGAGGCATTGTCTTGGCAGTGTACGTTGTAATCCTTCAATCAATACAAACAATGGCCACTTCTGAGATTCAAGGTCCTAACGTGAGGAATCCATCGTGGATTTTTTTTTTTCAGAACATGTGACATGCAGTGCCTTCACTTTCAAGTGCCCCAATTCTTACTGTATTCCCCTTCGTCGACGCTGTGATGACGTGACAGACTGCCCTAACAGTGAAGATGAACTCTCATGTGGTGAGTTGACAGGATTTGATGAAAGACTCTCAGGGAAAGTGTCAGTCCAAATAGTAAAGGGAAGGAAAAGATCAGGAAATCAAAAGAATAATGTGGAATTCACCACCACAATGGATCATCAGAATATTTGAGTTACTGTTTATTGTGTCGGGAACTTAATTCAGAAGGTGCAAGGATGAATTGGATTTCACTGCCTTACTCCCGATGCAAATAAAGAGGGACAGATTCAGCCACTGAATTAGTTCTTAAACCCTGTCTAAAATGTATTTATAAGTGGGTTTTTCATGAAAGCCCTGAACCATTCCACATTCGTATGCTGATTTGGAAAGTTTGGACAACCAATAGGTTTTAGACAGCGTGTACACTTTCATCCAAGATCAACCTAAAAACATGACTTCCCTCTTGATTTCAGATGGTGCAGTCTGCCCTGTAGGAACCTACAAGTGTCGTAACACCCAGATGTGTGTGGCAGAGACCCAGGTATGCAACGGGATCAAGGAATGCCGATATGGAGACGATGAACTCTTCTGTGGTGAGTTCCTTAGCTGTTCACAGTAATTTGTTTTTTAAATTATGCCTTATTATCAAATTTGAAGCCCTGTAGAGTCACAGCCCTTCTCCACCTGGCATTCATGAATACTTTTCCCTTGTCCGCTCCCGACAGGCTGAAGTTTGTAACTCCTTTAGCCACAAAAATGAAAGTCTGAGTGAACTTGAATTGTCCCTTGTCTTTACCCAATCACATTATTCTTGTTTCTACTCTTTAATGATGACAGGTGTGGATTGCCCCAATGGATGTCAGTGTCTGGGACTGTCTTTCACTTGTGTGGGTGTGGACTGGAACCAGACTAAAGCAGATAACTTGCCAGATACTTTAAGAAGACTGTGAGTAAAGTAATGTCGTAGTGACATTGGTGTATTTGTAGGCTGTGCTGAAATCTATTTATATGTGCCAGTGCCCCACCTCCACAATGATACTTGATTACTGATGACTTTATTTTCACCTGATTTCACAGGGTTCTGAGCAATACCATCGTCATGGAATCTGGTCATAAACGACGAAGACGACAGGTGTCTAACGGCAGCACCACTGTGGAAGATGTGTTATTTATCCAACTGGAGAGGTTTCCCTTCTTGTTTGATCTGTAAGTAACTTGTTGGGGGACTATTGAAAGGAATTTCTGTAACAAGGAGTTAACTGTGAGAATGATTTGTTTGTCTTCTACCAACTGAGCTATTAAGCCGTGTATCATATTTATCTTTTTATTCACCAGTGTAATCTTTGTTGTAACACGTCACCCACAGATTCTGTCTCTTGCTTTTCACAACCCAAAGAACTGCATTCACAGCAACCAAAGAACTATATACCTGACCATCAACATTGTACGCAAATACATACTTGCATGCGTATTGTGCGCCGCTCGCATTCCAAAGTACTAGTGTTACAGAGCTGTATCCAATTTCACAAAACATGATGTAACTTTGAACCATGGGTAAGCCTTGTGCAACAAAGTCATGCCGTAGCTGCGCAGTATACTTGCGATCGATTTCATGAAAAGTTGTGTAGATGTGCCACGTTTTAATGATATTAAATTTCTTGGACGATGACAAAAACGGCTTTTACGGCGGCTGTTCCTTTCCAATATATCAGCAGTCATCAAACAGTCATTGAATCACATCCGCCCGCCATTTTGTTTTCTTACAGCCAAACAAGTTTCTTATTACCTTCTACAACAAAGTTGTTCGCTTCTTGTGTAAGCTTTAAGTTCAGCAATGATGAAACTCATAACCAAACACAATAAGCTAGTCAAATAGTTCATTATTGCTTCGTTTGGCACAACTTACACCACCTAAAATGACTGAAAAAAGGCTCCAATCCACAACTGAATTTTAATCATTCCACCACCAAGCCTTCCAGGATGTGTTGTTTAGTTTCAATTACCTTATAAAAGGTTACTGGAGACATTTTGATTAAATGCTGAATTAGTTAAAATGAATGCTAATTAAACTTTCTTCTCCGGCATCTGGAGAGATGTAATCGATTACTTCCACCTAAAGTTTTGATGGAGATCAAAAACTGTCCAAGGAATTTCTGTGTTTTTTTTCCCCTCAGCATTGTTTCCAGCTTTAACCTTTTATATCGTTGAAAAATTTGGAATGTTCTCTGTGTTCCATCACTGAGAACGTGGTGAGTGCTCAAACTGTTAATGAACATTTAATTTTCAATCTTTCTGATGTAGAGATATCTCTGGAAACTACATCGAGGCTTTGGAACCAGGAATGTTCCATCAGCAACGAAATCTGTTCTCCCTGTAAGCTTACCACTTTGTTACAGTTTGTCAATCTCATACACATTGTTTCCTATGCTAACTTCTTACAGAGAAGGGAACCTATTGCTTATACTATGCTTCTATGTGTTTTTTCCAGGTCAGTTGCAAATAACAAACTGCACAATTTGGAACCGGGGACATTTGAAGGCCTACAGTGGCTACACCAACTGTAAGTCAGTAGTGTCTGAGATTTGATATGTCCTATGATAAACAGAATGGCTTAAAGCCCCTGTAGTGTGTTATTCAAAATAGAAGTGTATAGCAAAGTTAATGGATGATGTATGACATGATTGTTGTTCCATCGTTATTTTACAGAGATTTATCGGGCAATCCTTTGGTTCAGATTCAACGTGGTGCCTTCAACTATCTCCAAACCCTTCCATTTCTGTAAGTTTGCTGTCTGATTAGTATCAGTCTTACTAAAACTTAGAAATTCCGGCCCCAAAATCCCTCAGACATGAATTCCCCAGATGTCCTTCTTAATGGAACACAATCCTACCCACTGTGCCAACTTCCCGTTACTGTAGTTGAGTCCATTCCAAGTCCATTTGAAGTCATCTAATCTTAAACCCAGTCACAAGCTATTCAAATGAACGGCTACATAAACAATCCGTTGTCATTGTTAAGTGACCCTGTGTTGTTTTTTTACAACTGGTCTTCTGAAAGAACTTGGGGGCTCAATCACAGCACTGCAACTGGCTCTCAGGTTCTCACAATTTCTGTTCAAGCCGTGTGTCCTCCTCGACCTTTTTTGAAATGTCATTAAAGCTCAGCCAGTGTCATCCCATGTCACAAGAATACAGGTCTGTGATAATGACCTTGTGGTTAGGATCGTACCAAGTTGCTTCTTGATGTAAGTCTCATGACAGCCTTCCCCCATCCCCACATACACTTCCAAGTGTGCATTTGCCCGCTGTTGGGGACCCCCTGTTCTTCTTTTGTTCATACTTCAACTTTTTTGGGAGACCTCCCGTATGGTTTGTTGTCAAGAACTCATCCTCCATCCTGATGGACCAGCTCTACTCTGAAGAAACCTCCGGTATAATTATCGCACATCAAGGACTTATGAATCTTATTTTATTTTATGCTCCTGTTACTAAAAGAGTTAATGATGGGTAGAGATTAGGCAATGCAATGCTACTTAATTTAGGATTGGAAATTTTCTGTCTTTTGACCAGGGATCTCCACGGATTAGAGATCAAAAACATCTATGCGGGGACGTTTGATGGACTGGATTCACTCAAGGGACTGTAAGTCAAGTTGATGCCATACAAGTTTTTTCAAATTATAACTTGTCAGAGATGACTGTTGTCTGCAACCTCTTACAAATTGTTGCTTTGAAGACTTCAATATGTTGTAAAAGTCTTATCTCGAAAAACACTTGTGTAACATCACTCCGTGGTTTTTAGGTCTTAGCAACTGTTTCCACATTTTGGGTGTTTACTACTAGTTATCATTTCAATTCTAAGTCGTCTTTTCTCATTTGTTCTTGTTTGTGGGAATACCGTCCTGCCAATCCACCTACTTTATTGGTCTTTTCAGCAACCTGAGCCACAACAATCTGTTGGAGCTTGAGTCAGGAACTTTTGACAACCTTGTCCAGGTTACTCTTCTGTAAGTCATCAAAAGACTGAGGTGCTTTTTTATATAAGAGCCAAGCCAACAGCGACACTCCTAATTACCTACGGAGTCTGGTTTCATCTGCTTACTGAGGAGATCTACTATTCCATTCTTTTGTCCCCAATGTTTGGATTTGAAATTTTTTTTCTTGCACTCAAAATTTTGAAATATTTGGTTCTGAAACCTGTATGTATGTTCCAGAAGGATGAAGCAAAGAGTAACACAAGGGGGGGTGGTTACCAGAAGATAAGTTCTGGTTGAAGATGAAAGTTCTTGTGGTTTTCGCAAATAGTGAGGATTGAAATCCATATTACTGTACGTTTTAACTTTTTATTGGTTTTTATTGTTTTGAATGGATTACAAACGCATCCTGAGTTGTAGCATTTTCCTTCATGATGTGTTTGTTTTTCATCTTATGTGGAATGTTTCAGAGACATTAGCAACAATGATCTAACGGTTTTCCACAAGGATCTGTTCTCTGGTCTGACCTCGCTGAAGACGCTGTAAGTACGGCTGGAGATGTTTAACACTGTCAGGTCTGAAGTAACACTACCTCTTGTTAATGTTGTTGGCACATTAGACAAGAAAACTTTCGTTGCTAGTAGGCCTCTGTGGTAGGTTTGGGTTGTTTGGGTGAAGGACTACCATTATTTTCTAGTGAGATTTTTTTATCGTGTTGCTGGCGTGTGTTGCTCCAACTGTGAACAGCATAATCTACTGCAGTAGTGTTGCTAAGTAATATTAGTCAAAGTTTAGTACCCCCAAAAACAGAAAAGGAAAACTGTTGAATTTCAAACTATTGTGAAGTATCTGTCATTTATCCTTTCTATAGATAATGACCATTTTCATGCAACTTCATCAAATTTATGTTTCCTAAGCTAATGTAACGGGATCCAAGTAGTTATTAGAGTCTTATGTTTTACTTCAAGAAAACATGGAAAAAAATTCCACCTGTCCAAATATTTACTGTACAAATGTCTTTACAAATTAGTCATTTGGCACTGAATTTTGTTTTTATATGGAGACGAAATGACCTAATTGATTTTCTTGATAGACAAAATGCTTCATTTTGTACTTTTCTAGACATTCGGATAAGTACCTGTTCTGTTGCATGGTGGGTGAGATACAGGAATGTACTCCAGAGGCAGACCAGTTCTCATCATGCGAGGACCTCATGAGAAACCATGTACTCCGTGTCTTCATCTGGATCTTAGGTCTGAGTGCATTCCTGGGCAACGCGTTTGTGGTTGTCTGGCGTCTACACACCAAGCAGCGCTTTAAAGTCCAGGGTTTCCTGATACTAAACCTGGCTCTGTCTGATTGCCTTATGGGAGTGTACATGCTGATTATTGCCAGCGCTGACACCTTCTACAGGGATGTGTACATCTACTTTGCCGACGACTGGAAGAGCAGTACCCTGTGTACGATTGCCGGGTTCTTGTCGGCGTTTTCCAGCGAGGCGTCTGTCTTCACGCTGACCGTCATCACCTTGGATAGGTTCTTGTGCATCATGTTCCCTTTCGGCCGGCTGCGACTGGGACGGAAGTCTGTCCGATGGGTCATCGCGGGGAGCTGGCTGCTCGCGTTGTTACTTAGCGTCATCCCAGCACTGGGCTTGCCGTACTTTGGCGAGCGTTACTACGGGCGGTCCGGTGTCTGCCTAGCCCTTCCTCTGACCGGTGAACGTTCACCAGGCTGGGAATTCTCCATTGCCTTATTCCTTGGAGTAAACCTTTTCAGTATCATCACCATCTTGGTATGCTACACGGCCATCTATATCTACGCCAAGCGGTCGGCAAAGCAGATACGCTCTACAAAGGGTGCTACCACCGAACTGAAGCTTGCCACCAAGACCTTCTTAATCATCGCCACTGACATGTGCTGTTGGTTCCCCATCGTTATCATGGGCTACCTAGCACTCTCAGGGTCTGTCGTTATACCCCCCACCATGTACGCCTGGACTGCTGTCTTCATTCTACCCATCAACTCATCCATTAACCCTTACCTTTACACTATTTCATCCATTGGACTTCCTAAACTCCTGGAGGTGTCTAATAACTACAAGTCTCGACGTTGTCATTGTCACGATGCGGCTCCATTCAGTGACATAGGTTTGACTGCTGTAAGAAGCAATGGACATCAGCACACAGGTAAAGTATACCTACCATATCTTGGCATGGTTCCACACAAGACTATAATCCTACCCCATCACAAAAAATGGCACTTGTGTGGCAAATGTGACCCCACTTTGCATTTCATTAAGGCATCTGTTCAGAAAATACGGGCATCAAATCAGTCATGTTTGATCTGATGAACATAAAACTCCAGTGACAAGTAGATTGAAGAACAAAGCTATAAGATATGCTTGAAAAATTGTCCATCTCTTAATGTATTCTAGACTCTTGAGGTCTAAAAAGTAGCTTTCACCGTTTTAACCAACACCTAATCCAGTGTCTATAGTGAAGATTGCGGTAACACCATGTGGCTGAAATTCCTGTTATGTTTCACCCCATGTTGCATTTACAGTTTTACACCAAACGATGTTCAGCTTTTTAGTCACATAGAAGTCCTCTGTGTCAGTGCCAGACTGAAAACTTCATGTGAAAGGGGACGTGAAATCACATCTCTTGTACCGCTTTCATATTTTGAATGTAACAACAGAAAAAATACAAGTGCAACATTTGCAGCAAAGCTGCGTGCCCCCCAATTTTTTTCCTGCGTGTTTTTTCTTTTGCTTTGTTTAACACAAACTTGGATGCTTGCATTAACCTCTCTTCCATGTCAAGAAGTATTGTTATTAGTCATTTAATATAGCTCTACACCTGTTGGTTATTGATCATGAATGTAATGCTCACCGACGATTTTACCGCTTCTCTTAATCATGTCATATTGGCGTGAAATTGCTGGCAGACTCTTTGATGTGAATTACTGAGCACATTTAATCACAGTTGTCAAGTTTAATCGTCAAACCAATTGCTTAAACAGTTTCACCATTGGCGCTGCTGCAAGACAAAACGTGATCTTTCAAAAGGTGCCTTCTCACCCCGATGAAAAGGTTGCAAGGGCTCAATTTAGATATATTAATATGAAGGAAAGTGACACATACGATGAATGATGGCTCCATTTCTTCCTTCAAATGTGCTGTCTGTGCACATTGTTTGAATGTGAACGGAAGAGAAGTTTAAGGTAGCTTAAAGCAGAAATTACCTCATCCTTTTGAGAAAGAAGCCCTGTCCTAAGATTCAGACAAATAAAATACAAGTCTTGCATCTTGGAAAATTTAGCATTGGAAGCAAGATATGGGATGAAGAAAACCCCCTCCCCCGCCTTTTTGTTGGTCATTGTTTGATCGGAATTTCAGGAATTCTTTACAGACTTTTAGGGGGATGTGTTAGGTAACAATAGTCTAGAGTGTGTATAGGGATTGGACAGGTAAGGGGGGTACCCCTGCGTCCCATATCTTGCCTGGTATAAAATTTAGAGTTGACAAGACAAAGTACAGTCAATTTATTTGTGAGAGGGGAAATAAAATTGTAAAGAGCAATTCCATGCAAAATTTGAAATTGCCCAGGTTGTTTCTCATCTTATTGTGATTCATAAGCAGAAAAAAATGAAGGGTTTTTTCCCCAAGAAGTGAAGGTGTAAACAAAATCTGTTACCATTACCTTTCATTTCCACAATCCTTGTTTTCAAACCTACTTTCTTTATTTATTATGAATAGTGATGAGGTTGGTAACAGCGACAAATTTCCACTTTTGGAATTGCCCTTCAGCTTATTTGTTTGTATGCAAAACAATTTTTTAAAAAATAGTTCAGAAAATAACTGGAGGTGCTCAACAATTTGGAAAATAGTCAAGATGGGATAATAAAATTGCTTACTTTAAACAGAACAGTCAATTAGGTATACGTTTTTGTTTTGGGGTTATGTTTGGGGAGGAATCATTTTCCCCAGGCATCGGTCATTCTCAGTCAATCATACTGACGATATTTCCTTTGACCATAGTGCCTAGTCAAGTTCTGCCCATTAAAAATACTGCCCTGTAGAACCACATGAAATGAACCCTGATATATTTTTCATTTCCTACCAACTAGTGACCACACCCATACACTCACCACCCGCCAGGAGGAAAGAGCCCTCTTGTGGACAATATCTTCTCACCCATCTCCTCTCAGGGGAGGAAAGTCCGACACTGAGGCTCTCTGATGATGACTTGAGGTCCATAGAGACGGACCTGAAGAATGCCTTTGGAGTGTTACATCAGATGGGGCTACATCTCAGCGGCAGTGCAGAGGAGGCTGTGGTGTTAGAGAAAGAGGTGGGATTTTACTGAAAAGTTCTGAGAAGCCTGTCATGTAGTTGTCTGTTTTCTTAAAACAGAGAACATTTGAAAGGATTTGCCTTTATTTCAAGTGCTAGTTTGATGGGTCAGGATTGAGTGACTACACCAACACTTTGTTGATAGGTACTATTTAGGGTCTCAAAGAATCAAATTCTGAGGCCTCGTAGTTCCTTGTGATCTGTGCCTAGCATCACAGTCTCATCATAGTCTGTTATCAGCACAGTTCGTGTTCCTGGTGGAATACTGCCGTAGAGTTTGCCTAGGAGGAGATGTGTAAAACTAGTGGTTCACTCTTCTGAGATCTTCGTCATAGGGCTGATGTTTTATGTCAGTGGAAAGGTAGTGACATGGTGGACTGAGGGCTTAAATATTATGAAGACTGGGAGGTCCTTGATTGACTTAATGTCCATGATTTATGATCATTAAGCATGTAGTAGATTTTGTAAAAAAAAAATTAATATGTATGAACAAAGAGGACCAAAAGGAGGTTAAAAGTCACAGGTTTTATTAACCAACGGTTTAAAATCACAGTTTTTATTTACAACCGTGGACAGGTTTTCATATTTTAGGTTTAAGGTTTTTATCCATGTGAAGGTCTGAATTGTGACTATATCTGAACTTTTTTTTGTGACAGGTCATAACCCAGCAATTTTTGTCCTGTCCACTTCTTTACAGTCGACAGAATCAGAATGGCATGCCAATCTTCTGCTGCCTCGATCTTCACGAGGCCAGGCCTCAGAGTCAACAGTTGATGATGTCACAGCAGAAGATGAGCAGAGATTGGTGAAGGTCCTGCAGTGCATTAAGAGCAACTTCAAAAACTAAAACCAATCTTGCATTCCACACAAAACGATTAAACGAGAGAAGCCATAACCAAAGAATGCAATTAAAAAGCACTCATAAATGATTATTTTAGGAATCGTATATGTGGTCTTTTTATATTGCGACAGTTGCTTACACAAGAGCTAACATTAGGGATTTCCAGCAGAAAAGGCTTAAGGTCATCAGCTTGTTGGGTTGGGAATAAACTCCATGGAATTAAAATGAAAACAGGAAAATTAAGCACAGTCATGTATGATGATAATCTTGATCGTAATTATCAGGAAAACTGAACTATTGCAGACTCTTTGTCACATTTGCTCTCTCCGTCATAGTCAGTCGGTACTTATCTTTACCGTGATTTTTGTCGAACTCTGTCAGTTTTTGCAGGGTTAGCTAGGGCGTCAATGTGTTTTGAAAAGTTGAGGAGGCATGTAGCCCTGATCAGAAGAAATGCGAATGCAAAGCTCTGAGCGGCGTGGGGTCCGGGGCCCACTCAAGGGCCCCGGAAAATTTTGGAGTATAGATGCTCTGCGGGGTGATCTGAGACAAGTTTTGGCTACTTTAGCCAGTTTTTAACTACTGCTTTTGCAAGCTGTACATTTTCATTTAGGTTTTGGAAAAAAGTGTGGGGGGGGGACAATTGATACAGTATCCCCCCGGGAAAGCGGGGGGGGGGCTGTGGCATGTCCCGTCCCCCACCGATTGACGCTCATGATGTTTAGCATCTTTCCTGTCATTTCTGCTATATCTGTTCTAAATAGTATGTAAATATTTCAACCGGTTCCACTTGAACGAATTTTTAAGTGTTTTTCATATGTGCCACCCTAGTTTTTGTTTGTCGTTTCTAAAAGATTTTTAAAGTTTGAAGCTATTTTAATTTACTCCAGTTGCCAACTAGTGGCTAAATGTCCGGGGGGCACCCAGGGCAAACACATTGTTTTAAAGGGGCATTACAAGAAATATAATCTGCTGGAGATTATTCATAGACTTCAAATGGGGGGGGGGGGACCGGGGACACCGGTATCCGCAGAGGGGGCGGTCACATCCCCAAACCCATAGTTGCGCCACCGATTAGCCTGTTCCTTGAAGTTTATGCAAATTAGGTGATACTGAGCTCAATCAAAATGAGCTGTGAATAGAGGGATTTCACATTAGCGCCGAGGCTCTCTGTGTTGAACTTCGTCGCGCTTCCCGCGCAATCAACACGGTACATGCAGTATTCGGTTCGTAAGTGTGACGCCACTTCAATTTAAACCACGCCCACTGCACATGCAGATACACGATCGCAAGTACGTTAATTCGCGGTCAATTGCCGTGTTTTGGTTTCTTTTGATTTTACGTGTCGAGTCATCCTGAAAGACGCTTCCACAAAAATGTACAGCGTGAAAAGTCTGAATTTAACATACCTTTATGTATTTTGTGTCTTGACTCCTTACTTTCAATCGTCTGGTCGTATTAAGAATTGAAGCTGACGCATACGGCCTCGTTTTCAAACAAGGAAGTGCGCAAATCGACGCTGAAAGCGTAGTATTGGGATCCCTCTATAAGTCTAATTTGAAATGCTGCCTTGTGTGGGTTGAGTGCTGGTTGTTATGTCATTGTTTTTGTTACATATGGTGTACATAATTAAGTAATGGACACCTATCTGTTTGTGTTGAAAGCTGTCGTTGAAAATTTGATGATACCAATTGTCGGTGGGACACGAGAAGTATGCTGTTCATTCCACACGAAGATACGCAAACGATGGTTAAATGCATCCGAACAAAGCAATCATTACATGTCTCTTGCAATTGTGACAGAAATTATTTATGTTGCAAAAGAAATTGTGCGTAAGGTCTTTTTTCTAAATGATTTGATTGTGTCTATTGCTTTCATTTGAAGTACCAAGTGTTATTTCAAGCAATGGTTGAAGTCGTAACAGGGCAAGAATGTGATTTAACTTCATTTCAGAACTGCCCGACTGAAATTTATTTATGCTGTGAATAGATTTTAAGTTGTCTCATGAACAAGTGCAAAAGTATGCAAACGATCGGTCACATTCCTTGGCAGTTGAGCAGTCAAGTCGGCATGTAGACAACAAAAAATCGAACAGCAGTTACAAGAAAACCAGCAGCTATTAGTAGATTAACGGTTCAGCTTCATCGAGCTTAAAAACTTGCAGACTTTAAAATTTTCAGTTATTGGAGCTGGCTCCTTGCCGAAGTTATATGTGAGCACAGCACGCAAAGTACTTTCCGAATAAAATTTAATGAATATAAATTGCAGGCTTTCTCGGATACATTTTTGAAAGGCTAACGCTTTTTATCAGTTTTAATAATTAGGAAGAAAACGACCATGTTGCGGATATTTAGAGTATTTCACTTTTAAATGGGGTTGATATAATGGAACTTTTAAAGTGTGTGTGTAGCCAAGACTGATGATTGATCAAAACGCCATAGATACATTGATCGAGATCTTTGCAGTTAATGTTTATTTCTAGAGTGGAGGAAATGAACAACGTTTTCTTTTCAGCCAGAGCAATTGGTTAGATCAGCCTTGGAGAGTTTGAGATGAGACAGTCGTTGGTGTGCTAGCTGTGCGAATGGGTGTGTACATGGAGTTGGGTGCGTGGGAGAGGACACGATACTCAGAGTGTAAATGAGTGATGGAGTTGGATGAGTTGTCATTGCTGGCACGCGTGTGTGAGTTTTTGGTGAGCTTTGTGTGAGTATCGCACAGAATGAGATGACTTCAGCAAACGTAAAGCTGAAATTTGTTCGTGCAGTAAGTAGTGAAGTGTTTTCTGCATAATTGTTGATTCCCACTTTGAAAAGACTTGCTGCTTGGAGACGGCTTAAACGTGTATTTTAAATTTTTTATGGTGAAATTTTATTTTATAAATGGACAACACAGTAATTGTTATATATTATTTGCAGTGGTAATTATTCTCTGTATATTTTGTAACGTAAATAAACCCAGCAAGTATTGTACACGGGGAGAGATGTGTGCAATGTTTACCATAAAATAATGCTTGTATAAATTAAACTCGGTCCAAATTTATTATATTTAAAAGGAACGTTATTATTTCAGGGGGGTTCGATTTTAACCTCATCATGTGGCACATATTGATTTGTCGAATGGAATCATTTATGTTTGATCAATAAAATAAAATACTCTCCTGTAACTCTTGGCGGGATCGTTTCGTTGTCAACTAGGTTCTGAGTTATTGGTTACCGTAACAACGCCGAAGAAGAAACAAAGTAGGGGTTGAACTAGCTTTGGGAAAATCGAGGCGGATGGTTGGATCATGGTGCCCCTGCTATGAGGGGTGTGTCCAAGCTTTGGGATGGGTGGGGGCAAAATGGATATTTTATCTGAAACAACTCACCACTTTTTGCCATCCACACTCAGAATCCTCCTGCCTCTCTATGCCCGAGCAGTTTCAGCGAGAAAGTATTGAATATCGCAGGTTACATTAAAGAGTAACCTTCCAGCTCTTGCAGCTACGTTTGTGGTCTAATTTTGCAATTCAACCCAAACATGACGAAAATTGTATTTACAGCAGATAGCCTGGAGTCCCCCCCCCAAAAAAAAGTGAGACAAGTTGAGAAATAACAGCCCAAATTGTTGAGAGCCAAGAAATGGAAATGAGCTGAAGCATGCTTCTAGCATAGACAGACTGATTGCCATTGCTTTCTAGGTCGAGTATTGTCTTCCGGAATGCGACTAATCTTGGTAAAATGGTTCGTGTGAAGGAGAGAATGCGTCAATGGAATCTTCCCGTTGAATTCAGGAATTGCGATTCGTGCACCACCTTTGTTCTGGTCACTTCATCACAGTGACTCGGTGTCAAACACGAAAGCTTGAACCTTGTCTGGCAGCCCAATGAAAATCAGGGAATGGTGCGTCGCATAAAATAAATACCTTTCTGTGTTGTCGTCTCAGCACGATAAAGGGTCACCGGTAGAAATGCGTATGATTACCTCCTGTCAAGCTGCTTTTTGAAGCTGGTATTCTCGGAAGATCAAGTAGGAAGGCTTCAAGCAACAACTGGAACCTTATTGATTGTAGTTTCTCTCTGGAAGTTATGCATTCTCTCGTCTCACACTTTGGACGTAAGCCTACTTGATCGATAAGTTGTTCAGGAATGTGTCGAGCTTCTCCCAAACGGAAAGTAGTACACCCCTTTCGATACTGAAGTTGAATAATATCGTCTACTTTTATTTGGTGTTGAATTCCTTACTCTAATGCTTCGATCTCTGGACTTCCACCTCCATGGGATTTCTGAGGATAAACACAGCACATATGCAGAATGCAGACAAAAGCTTGGCAATTTTTTATCGGAAAGTGTCATGCTGAAATCGTCTTGATTCGTCTGATCGGTTCTAATCCTGACGACCGACAACTTCTGACATTGTCGACGGGGGAAATCGAGAGGTAAGTCTGTGAAACCTATGTCCATTTTTTTGCTCTAATGGCATAAATGTACGATTTGAGAGTTGCCATTCTTTCGGGGTTTCTTGTTACTTTGAAGGGCACGCGTAGTCGCACACAGCTTTTATGGTCACGTTCGGATTTTAATTTTTATATCGCCCTCTTGTGGTTAAATTTGCACAGTGACCTTCTGTGTCAATCGAAATGTACTTTTTTGTTGAGGTTTTAGAATGAAGTGAAATAGTCAAAGACACATGTTGTATTTATGTACAGTTCCGGTAAATGTCTTATGTTTTGTTTTCCCTGCGGCTGTGCATTACGCACGTGTAAATATTCATTAAGGTGTGAAAGATTAGTGTGTCAACATTTCTTATTTCTTACTGATTTAAGAAAAAACTTATTGTTTAGTGACAGGTGTAAATAATTGTGGATGCCATACCGGCTAAGAAAGTGGATAACAACTGATTGAAACAATGCATTTGTACAAATTTTGTTTGGGGAAATTTTGTCACCTGTTACAACTGAAATATTTCAATTCTTGGCGCGCCTAAATAATTGCATCGGTAATCATTCAACCTATCCTTCGATTCCCTTGTCAAACCCCGCAGAGTTGGCGTGGGGAATAAAAAAGCGCTGAGAAGCTCACCGAAAATTTGATTTGGAGAACAAATTTACCGAAGTCAAGTTGACAGGGACAAGTGACGCCACTGGCGACGTATTGTCGATTTTGCAGTAAGCACATCAGGTCATAATCCCTATCACAAGCCACAGAGGGTGATATGGCCGATGTTTCTGGGGATTTCTTTGCAATATTTAATCATACGTCCTGCTAGAAATTGTGAATTAATGTTCAAATAAAGGACATTTCCTTCAGAGGTTGTCGTATGGGGTAGCGGATTTTCAGTTGTTCACAAGATGATTATTCGTCTTGTGGTTGTTTTCAGTCGCACCCTTTGGGGCTTGGAAGTTTATTTCATTTTCAAGATTTGGCTATCTGTCATCCCCTTTTAAGCTACAAAGTTCGCTCGTGAAAGGAAAACAAAATCATGAAAAGCGGACTTCTCCAGTGAGAACTTGTACCGAGAATGTTGCGCAAATTGTTTTTATGTTACACCATGCTAAGCACTAATTGTTGTAGGCAATGATTTACTTTCTCTTTGGATATTTTAAAGAATGTCTAATCGTTTTAATTGGATACTTGATATGGGATTTCTTGGTCGAAAAAGGGTGGTACAAAGTAACTTTTAACTTTGACAGGATTTCTGAACGATTTGACATAACTTGCGTCATGAGCATTACAAAGTAAGCGGCTTAGCCGAGGCAGTAAAATCCTTCAAATGGCGTGCCTGAATAAATAACGAACATGGATGTGCGGCAAGAGCATTTTTTGTTGCATTGGTAAGATTTCCAGTTTGGTCATAAATCTTGAAGCTGTTTATCTCTCTCGGTGTTTTCCGTAAGTTTTGAAGTGGGCCGCGTACTTCTCATACTCACCCAGTTGTTATTTTTAGGCAGGACGATTCTCTTTATTCATGTAACCACGCCTTGACGCGACTCACCCAATGATTGTTTGCCTCTCCTCCGACTGGTAGCGTTGTAGACCGCCTACGCCGCCGTCACTATGGCAACGCTCTTTTCGAAAGAACGGTATCAATCACACTTCCATCTACCATGTCGCCTTATTTGAACAAACACCAGTTTTCGCTTTATACATAGAATCAATCATTAATTATATGACGCCACGTAGGAGGTAATTGCAAGAGAAGGAAAAAATACAGATATAATTATATTCGGGCTAGCTTAAGAAATGTGGAAGGTGAGCCGCTCAATCAAACTATAGAGGGCGCCCTATTTAACACCTCTAATTACTATGAATCCATGTTTTTCTAATATGCCGGTGCTTTTTATCGGTCGGAAGTAATCGGTGATATCACATGCTGAGATACAAACTGTCCACCAATGCACGGACGTTGCCATCACGCGCACAGGTTAGAGAAAGGCGTCAGTTGCGTCATTAGTTGTTTGATCAACGAGGGCGCAGCTTCAAGAAGAGATTATATCCAACGCTATTTCTGCCATGTGGTCTCAAATCGTTCCCAACGACATGGACATAATAAACCGATGACCTTTTAAACGCCAAACATGCAGGGTTATTTATAAAACTTTTTAATCGATATCCGACTTGCATTAGCTGACGTTCGATTATCGTTATTTGAGTTTGGTTCAGTCGTCATGACGTTCAAATCCCCTCTCGTTGCTGGGACAATTATCCACAAGTTTGTCGCCATACCATGAGGTCACACGCCGTAATCGTCGCCATGAACGCCTGATCCAGGCTTCTTGCAGGGAAAAGAATTTGTGGTAATCGGTCAGCTTTTAATAATGTTTTAATAGATGCTCAGGACAAAGATGGTTCATTTTCTTTCATTAAAGAAATTAAAATTTTCATTTACAGAGATTTTTTTATACGAGCTAGGTCACCACATCCTCATGTACATGGCCGTGGTCATGTAATGATGTCTTGGAATTACAGACGTCTGATTGGGGAAAGAGTTGAGTCGCTTGGTAACACGGTGGATATTTAAACAATTTTATTTTGGTAAAGTGAGTATCATAAACGCTGTTTTTAGGCAGTGAGTTCCGCAATTCGAGTTATTAGTTCTGCCTTATCTCACAGAGGGCAGGCTTTCCCTTGTCAACAGTACTTGGGAACCATGGCTGAGTTCGGGCGGCTTGTTCCCGTATGTTCACGAACAGTTCGATTTGTTATTCGTGGGTCGGCCGCTCGAACGCCGGGAAGAAACAAACAACATGCAACATGGTGGCGCCCATGTACGTTACTCGAGACTTAAGTTTTGGATGGGTTGAATTCTTTTCGATATTAATAGGAACATTCATTTCTGTGTTTAAGGAAAATAATTAATGTTAATGTTGCAAAACTTCCCATTGTATACGTGGTCTATGGCTTTGGAAGCCACCTCTCCACTTTTTGCAGCTGTTCAAAAATCAAAATCTCACGAGTTTTTCCGTGTGTTCCTGTAAAACCCTGACGAGGAGGTGGTGTGTGATCCTGTTCCGAGAACAGTGTTCTTGAGTCGTGTTCCCGCCGTTCGAGCGCGAGAACAAGAAACCCGTGTCAAGAACAGGCCGCCCGAACTCGACCCGTGGCTCTTGAGAAAAGGTTAAAGTAAAGGCCAAAGTGAGTGTGCATTATGAATATACGCGGAATGTACATGATAAGCCCAAATAGAACATCAACGCGTGTATGTCCAAATTATTTCAGCTATTTGTGGACTTCAGAGACAATAGACCGAGTCTAAATAAGCCGTTGCGCGAGATGAAGAGAGCATTGTGGCGACTAACGTAATAATCTAGGCCCGGACATTGCGAAATGTCAGGGTTGATGTTTTTCTCTCCAATTTTGCGTGAATGGATTCTTAAATATTTCAAGAACGTGGATGAACAGCAGAACGACGATGAGGATTTTTTTGGGGGAATAAAGCTTTACGGAGAGAAATAATATTTTGTGTGGACTAAGATGTTACATTTTGCCACTGTAATTTGTCCATCGACAAAGTATGCCCAAATAAATAAATAAATAAGTAAGCGTCTATAAACCAATTTACTTGAAAAACAAAACTATTTCATTTGAAACGAAAACTTGCTTGCCTTTGCTTGCAAGGAAGGTTTCCAAAAAGAAATATACCCCTACAAAATTGTTAAGCTACTCCGTGAAGTGTCAACCATGCTATTGGTTCACGCAGAACTTTCACCAAATATTGATAATGTTGGTGATGGGTGCATAGTCTATATAGACATTTGGGATATGAACGTTAACAGCGTACTTTGACATTTACTCTTTGCTGGGGAAACGTGACTCCCAACCCATGAGATTCAATTTAAAATATATATAGCAGTCGGTGTTTGGAATATTAACGATGAAATGTGCGATTTGAGTTCCGTAAATATCGCTTTGTCTATGACACGTTCGTAACAGTGCCACGGTTTGTAATCAGGGCATTAGAAACGTCTTATCAGAATGAGAATCAAAAGGGACTTATGATTATGTCTATGTGATATCTGGGGCAGAATCGACGCCATGCCTGTTATTACAACACCAGTACATTAAAGTTGGAAACAGAACATAATTTCGACCAGAGTGCAGTTTAAAAAAATAATGCTTCACCTTGACACCTCCTCAACGAGGTTCTTGAAATTGAACACAAACAGCTGTGGAAAGACTCGAAACAACCTGGCAACTATAGACGTAAATATGTTCCATAATTACGCAACACATAAGGTCCCATTTAGAATGAAAAAATAATAAAGGTTACCTCTAATGGAAAATCCTCGTTTCCAATGGTAGAAGCCAGAATTGACTGACTTTAGGGCTCTAAAAGCTGTATTAATTTGCATGTATTTGTTTTCAAACTACAATCAAAATGAGACTACGTTACTTTGCCAGGGAGCCTCCCCTGCAAACTCCTCCTAGGAAACCATCCGCAAGGGCTTGTCAGTCTCACATCCATGGCCAGTTTCATGACGAAGACAAAAATCACTGGAATCTTGCACTTTAAACAGAGGTGTTGAACTTGACTTTCAAAAAAATTCAGGCTCAGTTCACGATTGCTCCCTGGGGAAATCCCCCTCTACCAGGTGCCTTGGAGTCTTAAAGTGCTACGGTGTCGATGTCAGTCCGATACTTTATGACATTTGGCTATTCTTTTGCCGGGGTGTCACCCGCACATCCAGTCGGGATAATTCAATTGGGAATGGCAGTAGTGAATTAGTCGTAGATGTCTTTCTGATTGATGGAAAAATGGGGACATATCAATGGTGGAGTTTCCAAATCAGTCCTTTTCATGTTTTTCAATTAAAGAAAATCTATCCGTCTTTTTTGACTCGATCATCCATTCCCTTCCCTCTATTCCAATCATTCACGAGACGTCTTGTTGCCGCCTGATCTATTTAGTCTTGTGCCTTCTGTGTAGTCAACGGCGTGT